CTCCCAAACCTGGGATTATGGACAGGGCTTTGGGGAGAGTGAGCATGACCCACAGGGAGCAGAAATTGCATCCCTCCTATTTCAAATAAATGAAACACCAGATAAATGATATAAGGCAATTTGCAGTGCATAGTCACACCTTAGCACTTCAGTTAAGTCTGGACAGTCTTTGGAAACTGACCATTAGTTTGCTAAGGTGAGAAGACAATCCTTTTACTTTACTTACTTGGAGAGAGAGAGAGCTGTTGTCACTATTCCATTTTGTATACAAATTAGGGCATTTATTCCATTCCTTTATTTTGGATGGAGACCTGCTGCATGCAAGGAATTTTTGGAATCAGTTTGTTGCCGTATTTCCCTAGATTCGGCAGACAGATTGAGAGCAAAGTATTTGCAGAGATAAACTAGAGCTCCACTTGCATTCATAAAATGGGTTCAGCCAAGGCTCATTCTTTTCCTTGTTATTTGACACACCAAAGAGTAGCTCTTCTCCAGAACAACAGGAATAAACATTCTAATAAACTGTGGAGCTCAGTCAAGCATTGCTACAAATATAGTGTGGTTTTTCAGAAAATGTAAATAACATTTTAAAAGACAAACAAGCAAAGAAGAAAATCTTTCTCTGTGGGAAGTCCAGCAACTCTAATGGCATTTACTCAGGGGAAACTTAAATAAGAAAAGATGCACCCTGGCATTTTAAATGGCACACTCCTGCATTCTGTGGTGCCTTACAATGACAACATGTATCACAGAAGTAGCATGTGAGGGCCTGAAAATCACTTTCTAATATCACATGGATATTGTCTATGTTGGCCAAAAACAGTCATTTCCAAGCTTCCTACCATCTGTCAATGAACATTTTCAGTCTTAATCCATCAATCAAGGATGCTCTGCACTCCTCTGTAACTTCAGTACATTGCAGACAATTCTGGGGCACATCCCAAGTATGGTGACCAGAACAGTAAGGTGTTCAGAAAACAAGTTCCATATGCAATGGTTGAAGGAGCTGAGTATATTCACCTTGGAGAAGAGAAGATCACGGAAGACATAATAGCAGTCTTCCCATATCTAAAATTAAAGCCACAATAAAAGGGAAAGGACATCAGAGTTGGTGCTATAAAACTCTTCATCAACCATCAGAAGATATTTGAGTGGTCCACCATCAGTCAGTATTGTGTGTGTGAGATGAAATTATTATTATTATTATTATTATTATTATTATTATTATTATTATTATATTACTTATACCCCACCCATCTGACTGGGTTTCCCCAGTCACTCTGGGCGCCTCCAGCCACTCTGGGCCACTCTTGACTGAAGCTGGTTTTCTGCTGACATTTATACTCCTTTCTTATTATCGACTCCCTGCCTTCCCACAGCCAAGATGAAAGTGAGGAATGAGATTTCTGAATGGTGGGGCCCTGGGTGCAAAAACATGGCACAAGCCAAGGAATGGCTGGCTGGTAGTGTCACTGGGCAAAGAGATCTTAGCACTTTGAATTGTGCCTGGAATTTGTGCTTGGGAACCAGTGGGATTATTTTAAGACTGGTGAAGTATGTTCTGTTTGTCAGATTCCAATCAGAAATCTAGGCACCATCATTTTAATCAAGTGATACTTCTCAGCTGTCTTCAAAGGCAGCTCCATGTACTATACACTGCATTAATCCAAATAGTATATTACGAACACGTGGATAACTGTGGCCATGACACATCTGTCCAGCACTCAGCCAATCCTACTCCAAAAATATAGCTACAGCAAAGAAGTCCCTGCCCCCCATGTATCTCTGGGCAGAAAAAAGTTATGACTGGTGTTTGAATTGTACAGGGACAACCTCTTCTCCAGCCCCTGCAGGAAAGGCTCCTACTCCAGCTGTTGTTATGAGGAGTGACCAACAGTCTCAGCACTGGCGTGACTTGAAGGGCAGTCTGAGCATGCTCAGAGCTATTTTCTTGAAAGCTACACCTCAAAGTACATTTTTTGTAGCTAGCCAGGAGAAGGGATTTGGTTACAAGTTTGAGCAGCTTGGGGTTTTTTTTTAGTTGATTGTTAAGAGAGAGCAATGGTGACCCAGGTGAGTATCTTACTATAATATTTATGTTTTACTTAATAATTCACATTCAGTTTTGAGAAGAATTTGGAGGGGAAATGGTGGCTTTTGTGTGCGTTGCAACTTTCAACACTTAGGTTTTATTGGAACTGTAAGGTTAGTGTAAGGCAGTGTTTCCCAACCTTGGGCCTCCAGCTGTTTTTGGACTACAACTCCCATCATCCCTAGTTAGCAAGACCAGTGGTCAGGGATGGTGGGAATTGTAGTTCAAAAACAGCTGGAGGCCCAAGGTTGGGAAACACTGGTGTAAGGTACCCTTGACTCCTCTGCTCAAGTCTGTCTGTGAGCAGAGGCTGTGATTTGTGGTGAGGAGTCAGTGGTGCTAATACATAATCTCTGAATCACACTTTGGGGAGAATAATCCCTGAAGACACCAGGGATTGAACCTTGTGTGGGATGTAATCCATTGGGAGCAGTCAAGTACAACATTCCTTGTAATGCTAGAGAAGACATGCGAGGGAATGTTTGGTTCAGCCAGTCGAAACTTCCTATTCCTCCTGGCTGGAGCATCCTTCCTTTTGCATGTGATAGAAGGTGGGTGTGACCTAACCTGTGCAGGTAACAGAAGGACGAGTCACGCAGCACACCTCTCTCTTTTTCACTTCCTTCGTTGTTTGAGCAGCTTTTAGCTAGGACGGCTCTGCTAGCTCTCAGCTAGCAGAAGCACCGGGATTATCCCCCCATATGGGGTAGATCCACATGTATGTATATATTTGTAACTAAGTCTGCCTTCAGGGATCCAACTGTGAACTGATGTAAGTAAACTTCTTTTATTGACTTTGAATAAGGTTGTGGCATCTTTATTCTTTTAAGAGGGATACAAGGGAACTTACCAGAACGTACAATTCAATCTGAAGACAGACTGAATCATATAATAGAGAGAGGCTTACACAAGCCTGCAACCAGCTATCTGCTGTGCATGTAAAAGGGGAATGTAAACTCTGCTAAGTAAAGGAACTTGCTAGCACAAGTTAGGAAGGATATTAATAAACAATATACCTCTCCTGCCACCCTGAACATTCCCACACCTTGGACCCGGTGCAAATAATGCAGATGCCCTAATCCTGAGCTGTGGTGAGCTCGCTCATTGGTTTCATGTAGAGGTCAAACAGAGGTCAAACAAGACGAAACAGAGTCCTATGACATGCCAAAGCCATACTAGTAAGGGCAGAGCAATAGTTGCCCTGCACCATCTTCCAGAAATGGTCATCCAAATAGGCTGGAATTACTCAAGTACATTGTCTCCAGTCCCCACCACAGACAACTAGAGCAAAATTATACCAGTGCCTTGGGTTTGGGTAACCTGGAGAATGGAGTCCAAGCATCACTTTCATCACAGACTTCTTGTTGATCTAGATCAATTCAAAGTATCATCGGTAAAACTGAAATAAATGAGATGCCTCTTGGAAAGGGAAATATATATTTTAAATTCTCTTAATCCCCCCCCAGTGAACTTGATTTGCAATAAACTTGAAACAAATGAAAGGCAAGACTTGTTCACGCCATGCGTAATTAACTTGTGGGGTTCAATGTGTGCAGTGTTGGGTTTGAATTTTTGGGGATGCAGGTTCAAATCTTGCTTCAGCCACAGAGCTCACACTGGGTGACCGGGGGCCAATAGCTATGTCAGCAACCTAGGCTACTTCAGCCCTGGAAGAAGTTTGGGCTAAAAATGAATTTTGTAATAATGAAGTATACCAATGGCTCTGCCTACTGATTTTTATAAAGGGATTAAACAAATATAGTATGACCCCACCTCTTGTATTCTCTTTGCAAAGCCCTTTGCAAATTTGGTATTGCAATGATGGGCGGGAAATCAGGGGTGCTGTCAGGCAGTGGTTCAGGGGAGCCAAGCCCTGGATCTTGTATGATGGGCTCTCCTATCCCTCCTTTTTAAAAACAACTTTGTTTAGTGGGTTGCTGGGTGTTGATGAGACCCACATCCACCCCCATAATTTCCCAGATGCAGATTTTACATATAAAGTAACATATGCAAGCGGTATGCAAATTTGTGTCATAGGTCTGTGCCACAATCCTTTGAGTACTTAGCAACACCTCTGCTGTAGATACCCCACCCAAAGGTACTTTAAGTATCAAATGTGAGCATGCTCATCATTGCCACTACATGCATGGGGAATCCAAGTAAGCTGGCTTGTCTACAGCGCTTAATTTGAATGAAGATCAACTCTGGAGCCACTTCAGCGCCTAATTCCAGAACAGTGGACTGGAATCAGTTGGGGGCAAGTTTCTTATCAACGCGCTGATCATTTGCAGAAGAAAGTGCTTCTGCACATGTGCAAAGTCATCTAGCTCCATCACTTTTGAGTCACCACAACCCCACCCCCTATATAACTGTGGGTTTGGGGAGCCCCTGACACCTCTCCTTTCAGAAATTAAGTGCAGTTCATCCGGAGCTTGTTACGGACACCAGAAGCCCTTTCCACTAAATTGAATTTTTTGGCTGCTCGGACCGCCCGTGGAAAATCCGAACACTTCTGCACGACCTCATTCTCTTTAGACGGGCACTTCTCGTCCTTCGGTTTGGTGGGTTGTGTGCAAGAGTCTGTCATCGCAGCCCGGAAAGGTAGAGTTGCTCTTCATGGTCAGCGACCACCGACAAAAATAAAGTAAAATAAAGTGCCTGTTTCACGTGGATGGCCGGATATCAGAAGGAAAGTAAATCCAAGCTTTCTTGTCTTAAGGAGGGCGCCTGGAGGGAATGGAAACGGGGTGGATGAGTTTGATTATTATTATTATTATTATTAATAGTGATGATGATGCTAAATATAGCGCATGGGCAGTATGGGTGCCGCCCCTCCCCTCAGTCCCCCTCCCCACCATTTCCATCTGTGTAAATTCCAGATCTCCTCCTCCGCCTCCTCTCATTTATCACAAAGGCTCGTCCAAACTGCTGTCTTCTTGCGCCCCCCACTGCTGACGAGCCGCAGAGATCAAAAGGAGCCACACAGCCCATTTCTCTCTTCCCTTTCCTTCCCTCTCTCCCTCCCGGCACTGAGGGCTCCGTTTGGCGGCCAGGCTTTGCTTTTGTGCGCGCGTTTGCTGCCTCTCCCCGGAGCGACTTCTCTTTCCCCTGCAAAAGAAACCTCCTGCAACTTTGCCAAGGAGGAGAGGAGAGGAAAGGACGACGGCGCAAAGATATTCCGAGTCCTTCCTGGACTGCAGAGCTTGGCAACGGAGCCTTTCCAGGTGGGGACCGATTCCTCTGGACGACCTCCGCGAGCGAAATTTGGGCTAGTCTAACGGGTCCGATTGCCAAGCAAAGTCTGAAACGGCCCGAAATTTCCACGCTTAGCCCATTTCTTTGGAGGAAAGGTGAGAAACGGGTTTTTTGTTTCTGTTTCTTGGGTGGGGTGGGGGTGTTTTAAAAGTAACAGGAAAATAATAATGGTGAAGATTTAGGGCAGGAACCCGTTTGCCCCCACCCAAGGTATTTGTTGAACTCCAACACCCAAGTATGGCCAAGGGTCAAGGGTCATGGGAGCTGCAGTCCACCTGTCTGGAGGGCCACAAGTTCGCCATCCCTGACTTAGAGAGGTGACTTCAGCAATGGACGATATGTGCTTTTTTAATATTTCAGACACTCGGCTTTGTTCTCACTAACCTGCAGGAAGGTCAGATTTTCAGGTACCGAATTTATGCAGACTCTGCTGGTCCTTAGTTTTTAAGAGTATCTGAGCACTTACACTCAGTCATTACCTATCATCTCTGTACTATGGCACAGGAGAAGTATTCTGTGTAAATCCAAAACTTGTCGCAACACAGTCAAGGGACCAAAGTGTGATGTCAGCAAAATTATACTCGGCCAGTAAGAGAGCATAGAAGGGATCCCTTAAGACTGATTCATCACTATTTGACTCCCCTAGATCAGCTTGCATTACTCACCATCGCAGTGGTAAAAAGAGGGGGTTTTCTCCAGCTATTGTGGTTATAGTCTATTTCCACTGTCCGAACCAGTATGCCTCTTAATATCAGTTGCTGGGCTTCACAAACCGGAATAGTATTCCTCCGCTCAGGATCTGATTTGGGGCATCTTGCTGGCCACTGTAAGAACAGGATGCTGACTAGATGACTCTGTGGCCTGATCCAGCCGGACTCTTCTTACATCGCTGCCCTTTTAATGAAGGATTATTGGCAAAGGGGAATTCTGACTCGCTTTAGCGACTGTGAAGCCCCAGTCCCCATTCCCACAAAGCATTAAGGTATGTGGTGTAAGATGCTGATCTATCTATCCCAATGTTATTTTCCTGTCTAATCCTGTTCTTCAGTCCTACCCACAAACCAGTAAGGCCGAAGCACTGGACTTCATGGTTTAGAGCAGCTGAGTCTTCTGGGCGGCGGACGGTGGACACGGAACCGTCAGCGATTCACAGGTCGCGCAGCCTGGAGACCCCATGAGCGCTTTTGGGCCAGTCTGTCTGCCTTTCTCTGTCTCTGCCTCAGTTTGTCTTCTCTGAAATGGGAATGTTAATCGTCTAGGATTGCCGGATTGCCTCGAGAGTAAGATGCAAACTGCGAGGCGCGTTGTACGGCCTGCGCAAAACAAAACCTAGCGAAACGCTCGGTCAAAGCTCAACGCTTGAGGAACTATGAAGTCAATCCCACTGTTTTCAATGAGGTTTCCTGGCTAGCAGGCGTGTTTAGGGTTGTAGCAGAATCCCAGTGGCAGAATTAAAAGAACTGTTGCATTGAAGCCAATGGGACTTAAAGGACGTAACTTGGCCTGGGCTTTCGCGCCCAGTTTAATTTCGGGCTCATCTGACTGAGAGATGGATGGTTGACGTCAGATATCAGTAACAAAGAGCCCGGCGGCCCCTGAAAGACCAGCACATTTTGGATGGCATTTGCTAGTCTCTCAGGTGCCGCGGGACCCTTCTTTTGTTTTGCTGCAACCGACTAACATGGCTACCCGCCCCGAAGCAGAAATATATCCAACACACTTCCGCGTATTTGAATGGACGTGCTGTAACGGCATGGTAATAAAATCTGCTTTTCCATTCATTTTAAACTGTTTATTTGAAAGGTGTTTTTTTATTACGCGCGTGCGTGCGTGTTTGCTCGTTCAAAGCCCCGAGTCCAATTTTAATCATTCCTTTATTGTTTTACTGTTGGTAATTAGGGTAATTTATTAAAGCAAACAAACTTCGAAACTAATTGCATCTGGCTTTTCCCTCTTGCATAAGTGTATATCCGAACCTCGCTCCTTTCTACTTTTCTAGGTGGCTTCTGTGGGGTGTGTGAAGAACCCTGAAGGAAATGAATAGCCCCAGCCTGGAATAAAATCCCTCCCCTTAAAAAAAAACCAAAAAAACCCAGGACACCACGATTATACTACAGTAGGACGAAAGAAAGGCATTTTCCTGGTTGCAGTTGGTGGAACAAGAAATATCTACCAATACCAAAGGTGGGTGGGGAGTCACACTGATATTTAATGTCCACTTTTTTTCTTGAATGGGAAAGCTTTTAATGTTTGATGGACTACTGTATTTGAATATTTTGTTGGAAGCCGCCTAGAGTGGCTGGGGAAACCCAGCCAGATGGGCGGGGTATAAATAATAATTTATTATTATTATTAGGGTATAAATAATAATTTATTATTATTATTATTGTTACTATCTCCCCGCGCCAAAAAAATGTTAGGGGAAATCCTACTTGTTTGGATGAGGTTGTTTATAACCGCAAGTTTCCTGAAGTTGCTTTTGCTTCCCAAATAAAAGAATCGGGGAGAATTCTGAGACAGAATTAACCAAGTTTAAATCGTTTCACCGATCACCTTGCATAAATGAACCAATGGATGCCTCCGGTCGCCCACCTGGATTCGAATAAAGTAATACTGAGCTTTGTTCAACCAGTTGTTGTTTTGAAAATGTCTTCCCCAAAAAAATTAGACAAGGATCGATCAGGGTCCACGATCCCATCAGAAAACCGATTCAAAACCAGGAAGGTGATCGGAGAAGTCAATATATTTATACTCGATAAATGAAACGGAGTCACGAGGAATCCTCATTCTTGCAACAGAGTTTCTTTCAAACCCCTGAGGAATACCTTGTAATTTCATACACAGAGAAGGACGCAGGTCGCCATCCTAGAATAATTCTGTACTATAGTTTACCATCCTATAAAACAAGTCACCGTCTTTTTACATAGAGAAGGCCTTCCTATCTTAACAAAATAGTGTTTAGTTTGTTTAAAATCGTGCATTTGTAGCCAGGACAAATACCTTCTTGAAAAACTCTGTTTATTGAAATGCCATCCATGGAAGGAAGAAACAGAATATTGCGTTGAAATTTGGAAAAGACAATAACTACCGTCCACCAGGCATTTACTCAGGCATTATCTCAGTTACGTCAATAGAACGAGGGCCGAAGTATTGCAGGTTTCAGTCCAAAATATTCCCCATTTGATTGCTTCGCGTTATCATGCTATCGACGATTGCGGGGAGGGGGGGCTGAAAAACAATGTGCAGGGGCGGAGCCTTGTCCCGTTTTCCCATTTGTGGTTTGGAGGGGTGGTTTAAAACCGCTTTAGTAACTGTATATACCGAACCCATGGATTGGTCTCATCTTTGGCGAGGAATAAACACGCGCGAACTTGGATCTGCTTCGCCCTGAGCTGTAGGGAAAGGAGCTGGGAGCAGCAGATGACAGAGGGTTAAAGGAGAGGAAAAGATGAACCCCTGTATAAAGGAAGAGGGGAAACAGCTGGTTCGTCCACAGCTGCCTGGAGTTGGGGAAGTGAAGAGGCAAGCAGAGATAACTTTCGCAGGAGCAAGAGGAGGAGCCAGAGAGCAGAGACGCAGTGTGTGTGTGTGTGTGTGTGTGTGTGTGTGTGTGTGTGTGTGTCTTTCTGCCCGCCTGCCTCAGCTGGCTGGCACCGGGGAAGGTGGATCAACTGCCCTCCCCCGTTCCTTGCATCCTGGAGGCCAGATGTTCATTTTTTAAAAAAACAAAAACCTTGACTTCCACGGAAAGGCTTTTCACCGAGTCTCAAAACGCCTTTCCAAGATCTTCTTAATTGTTTCAAAAATGCCTGTTAGCCTCCCACAACAGTTAAATGTGTGGATGGGGACATTTCTCACTGCCCTTTCCTTAATTTTTTTTTTTAAAGAAGAGGTGAAGAGAAGGGCGGGGGGCAGACAGACAGACAGACAGAGACAAAGACACCAAGGGCACTATTTGTCTTCTCCGCAAGGAAATAGGAAATATAGTTAAGCAAGAATAAAATCCTCCCAGGTTACCATAACGCCTTCCACTAAGTACTACTAGTATTACTATACTGTTAGTATTTTTGGTTGCTTGGGGGGGGGGGGAGAGAAGGCCAGGAGAGCCCTGCCGTGCAAGCTCCTTACTCAGATGTAAGTCGCACTGGCTTTTTTTTTTTTAGTAACTCTGTTTCAAGAAACCAGGGTCTTCGGTGTTGCGACCAAGCTGCCTTGAAGGCCACCAGAATGGCTGCTCACCTCACATCTCCGAAAGAAACAGTGCACCTCGGAAGCTCTGAGGTTGCAGGAGGCTTCTCTTTCGTCTATGTGCCCAGTGACAGATAAGGCGACGCTCTCTTCCTCAGAACTTCTTTGGTTTCTTGCGCCAGGTTTTTCTCTCCTCAGAAGCAGTACCTGAAGTCAGTCTGTTCCAGCCATTGCAACCGAGAGTCTCCTGGCACCTGGAGACGAACAAAGTTGTTGTTGGCATATACTTTCCTGGTATGGAGCCCACTTCATGGAAGGTTATCCCAGGGTATGGTCGTGGTCTGAAAATACATGAAGCCACCACCTTACTGAAGCTAGGTCAATCTTTTAGTTATGGCGGCACCTGTCCTTTGAACCTTCCGATTGACACCAAGTTCAAGTCTTGCTGATTAAACCCACCACCACCACCAATTTACAAGGGACCCCCAGCAAGCCCACCGATACGAATTAGTTACCCATATTCTCTTTTTAAAGTTCTTATGATTCCTTATACGTAACAAATGAGTCGCCTATATTGGTTTTCAAAATTTCATTCATTTTTATCCGTGTCTCAATGATTATTTTATGTCTATTTTTTATTTTTAAAATGTCGATCTTAGCTGCGTTTTATCTACAGTCTTATGGTTTAGGAAGCGTTCTGATTAAGCTGTTTCTAAACAATTTCCGAAGTAAATAAATATATAAGCAAACAAGTCTGGCTCTGGTGGTCAGTGCCTAGACTACATGAGAACCATGTGTACTTTGTCCTCAATTCCATGATGAAAGAAAGGAGGGGCATGAATGTAAAAAAAAAAAAAAGTTGGGTTTTTAAAAAAATAATAATAATAATCTGCTGGTATAATTACATGTAGGCCCCAAAGGCCATGAAATGCATAGGGTACAGGATGTGGTCTGAGAAAGTAGGTACAATATGCATCTCCAGTTTGGAGACAGCTTATAAAAGCTGCTACTACGTTACAGATTTGCTCAGGAATATCAACACTTCAGGGGTGGGGGTGCTTCTTGCAACACGGTCATTATATTTTTGAAGAAGAAGAAGAAGAAGAAGAAGAAGAAGAAGAAGAAGAAGAAGAAGAAGAAGAAGAAGAAATTATTTTTACCCCGCCCATCTGGCTGGGTTTCCCCAACCACTCTATAATATTTCATTCGTGGTAGTCCAATGTTTGTCAATCCTTCTGAGCTTCATCTTTTCCCCTCCGCCCCACATACATTCAGTGTCGCTTCTGTCCCCATCAACCAGCTACGAGAGCCACCCAATTTTCTTCTGCCCCCCTTTGGAATTTAATGCCCTGCCCGCCACGTGACCCACGGTGGGGCTGCCTGTCTTGCCTAGAAGAAGAGGACGTGATGCCCAACCTCTCTTCCAGCTGTCCCGCACCAACCTTTTCCACCGGTTGAAAAACTAGGGCAGAGGGATAGTCAACGTGGTGCTCTCTAGGAGTTGCAGCTCCCCTCATCCCTGGCCATACTGGCTGGTGCTGATGGGCGTTGGAGTCGAGAAGATGTGGAGGGCACCGCTTGGCTAGCTCAGAACCAGAGTGTAATTGTTATTTCATTACAAACTCCCATGAAAACGCAATCCATCTGGAAGTCCTTTTGCCCAAGCATTGAAGCCAACTCCTAGGGGCCGATGTCCCTCCCCCAAAAAAAATATTTAAGGGGGACCCCCCCACAAAGTTAATGGACATTGTCATTCAAATAGTGTGCGTGTCACGTGTCTTGTGATGGATTATGCAGGGCGGGGCTTACCTGGACTCCCCAATATTTTATTCAAGTTGGTACCCTTGTGTCCAAGTAAGCCCAGTAGGAAGGCAATTCGGAACTGCTGCTTAACGTGTGTTGCAGGGTGAGGATCGTGCCATTTAAGAGCCCCAGAGGGCAGTAAAACTTCACTTGGTCTAAGTGTTGGGCACGGATGGATCATGAAAGGACAGGATGGGGATCCCTTCTCTGATCTAAAGATTAACACAAAACAACACATATCGTCGCTGATCCTGATACATGTTTCTGCTGTACACTTGGTATTTTACAACAGTCAGGAACTTTCAGCTTCTCTCTGTTTTATGTCAAAGGAAGCGCTGCTGTGTTTTGATCCGGGTGGGATCTGAAGAGCCCCGGCGCAAACACAATACTCTACAGAAAAGTCCCAGAGCGCAGCATGCGCTTGCCTACAGCCAGCCCCCCGCTCGGCGTTCACTTCCTGGTTAGAGTAACCCCGCCCCTGCTGCAAGCGCCCTGCAGAGCCCCAGAGGCCAATGCGGAACTGAGCTTCGGTGGGTTAAGCTCAGCCTTTGCTTTCGCTAAGATTGCCTTTCATCAGCTTTAAACTCGTGGTGTGGCTGCTGTTGGTGGTAAGGGAATTAGTTTAATTTTCTGCACCGCGACTGTTCTCCTTTAGACTTTCTGCAGTTTCACTTCTGAATCGGCCCTGCTAAAGCGCGAATCCAGCTGTCTGGCTTAACCACCCATGGCGCTCAAAAGACCTCCCAGGGAAACAATACCCCCTGGTATTGCAGCCTGACGAGTCACGGGAACCAACTGGTTGTCACTTGGTATATGATCAACAGGCAATTTTCAAACTCTCTCAGCACCAGCTTCTGTCTCTAAATCACCAAGTAGCTGCAATCAATACAGTTGTGGGTTATCCACACAGCAGTATGGATTACAGGACTGTAGACAAGAAGGAGCCCAGGCCTTTAAAACAACAACAACAACAACAACAACAACAACAACAACAACAACAACAACAACAACAGATGCTTCCAGATGGGAGTTAATTGTGGAACCAGTACTGCTCATGCGCATAAGTTTATCACAGTGTCCAAATGACATTGT